CCTTGTGCGCTGGACCACTGCCCACTCACCCTCCTCCGTATAGCAAGTGCGCCCGCCCACATGCCACCCGGGCTCGCCCGAGTCACGCAGCGCCTCGAGCGGCGGCACGACGGCGCCGCGCACGGCCAGTGGGGCCGTGGGCACGCCGGCGGCATGTGCGTGTGCGTGTGCCGGCGGCTTGGGAGCGCTGCTGGCCTCGCCTGCATTGCTCGCGGCGAGGCGCGGTGCGGAACGAGAAAGGAGGAACATCGCTGCCGATGCCGAGGCATGCAAGGCACGCGCGGCGAGCGGCTGCGGAGCAGTGCGCAGCGCACGCAGCGCCGGACGCAGCGCTGGCCGGAGGATGGCGGACATGATTGCCAAGTGGGCGCTTGTTGGTGTTGGGTTGTTGGGTGTTGGGTGTTGGTGTGTGGTTGTGGAGAGCAGAGCGCGGCAGGGGGCAGCATGGCGTTGCGTGCCCTTTATATCAAAGGCAGGCGAGAGTGCACGGACGCAACCCTGATGCTGAGCAGCAAGGCACAGAAGCAGGCCGATGGCAGGCGCATGGCGCATGGCGCATGCCCACGCATGGGCGGACCGCGTGGAGCGCTCGCCTTCTCGGGCGCAGCCGTGCCGCGGCGAGATTGTTGCCCCCCACACGCACAGCAGCGGCCACCGAGAGAGAGAGGGGGGGCACCTGGAATCTCACCGGCGTGCGGCGCCTGGCTCTCTCTCTGCTTCTTCATGGCCCATCAAAGCGGCAAGGCCGACGTCAGCGCCGCTGGACAGAGAGAGGGCAGAGGGTGCGCTCGTCGGAGCTCGCCGGGCCGCACCCGCCGCCGCACCCGCAGCGCCGAGGCACCTTTTCTCGGCCGCTGCTCCCACGTCTACGGGCGCCGCGGCTCCTTCTCCGCCGCCGCACGCCGCCACACGATCAAGACGGAGAGATGCTGCGCCGCTCGCGCCGGCGGCGGGATTGCCGCGGCAGTCGCCCCCAGCGCTGCGCTGACCGCAGCCGCAGCCGCCTGGGGCTCGACGGCAGGCAGGTCGACGGCATGTGCAGCGTACGAGGTTGCTTGGTGCCTTCATCCATTCCAGAAGGCAACCTTGCATTCATCTGCTGGCATGGGGGAGATCTGGCCACCCGAAAGCGAGTTCGTTGCATGGGCCGTGAGCGCGGAAAAGAGAGGGCAAAGAAGGAGCGTAGGGCTGTGTGCGCGCGCGCGAGGCCTGCTCCTCGCCCTCACGTGCTCGACGCTACTTGCAACGCACACAGGCCAGTCACAGGCGCTCAGGCTTGGCGCGGGCGCTGCTGCCAACTAGGAGGTGGAGGCAGCAGAGCCCACGGCGAGATTGTGGGACTGCAATGTCGCCGCCGTCCGGGTCGGGCGTGGGGGGCCCAAGCAGCAGGCGAGCAGAAAGCATCGCAGGCTCGAGGGGCAAGGTGGGGCCAGGCCGAGGCTGGGCAGCGCTTCCCACGCCCGCCGCGGGCTCGGCCCGGCGTGCTCCGACGCGTCCTGCCGCGCACCGCCGAGCGCAGGCTGCCCGTGCTGGGTGCTGTGCTGCAAGCCATGCACGCCACCTCTGAGGCAGCAGTTGCAACTGTAATGTGACAGGGCCAAGCGACAAATGGAGCGCATGTGGCAAGTGCGCCTGCTGGCCGCAGCGTGCAGGTGGCGCCGCTCGGTGCGCTCGCCCCCCCCCCCCCAGTCTGAGTCCGGACGCAGCCGGCGCCTACCACGTGACGTGCCGGCGGGGCGAGCGTGGGAAGCAGACGGCGACGGGTCCTTCGCCTCGGCTCGCTGTTGGCGCCGCGCCAACGCCGGCCCGGGCCGCCGCTCGCCGCCGCGCCGCCGTTGCCCGCCTCCTCATTTCGCGCCGGGCTCTTCTCTGCCTCCGGATCCCGAGCGCGCGCGCTGCTTCTTGCCTTCTCCACTTGCCCTCCTCCGCCGCTCCCTCCTTGCTCCTTTGCTTCTCACTCCTCACCCAACTGCCATCCAGCAAAGCTCCTACCAAGCTCCCAAGGCACACACACCGGCCCGCCTTCGCGGCTGCCGTCCGCCCTTCTCGGCCCCCCCCCCCCCCCCCGCTGTGGCTGCGCACCCGCGCGTCGTCGCATCGCGGCATCGAGGCATCCGTGCGCTGGCCCGTCGCAGCTGCGCAGACGCTCGCTGCGCGCCCTGCCGCCTGCCTGTAGCGCCTCGCCGAGCTAGGTGAGTCGCTCCCGCTGCCATCGGGCGTGTCTCGTTTGCACCGGCCCTCGTGCGCCAAAGTGGCTCTGGGCCCGGCCGGGTGCCGGCGCCGGCTTGTCGAGTGCAGTGCACCGCCGCGCTGCACCATCTCCCACCACCTCCCTCAGCCATGTCGGCTCCCCTGCCGCGCTTCGGCGGCGCCTATGCCGCAGCCGCACCCGCCGCACCCCCGCACGCACCGCAGCACGACGCCCACGCTGACACCCGGCGCGCGCGCTTCGCAGCCATGTTCCCCAACGGCACGCACCAGGGCGGCGCGCCGCCGTCGGCCGGCGGGCAGCACTCTGCCTTTTCGCACCCGCCGCATCTCGGCGCCGCCTACTATCCGCCCAGCGGCTCGTCGCAGACGGCCTCGTCGCGCTCGCCGGCACACACGCCGCCGGCGTACGCCCACGCGCCGCAGCACGGCAGCAGCTGGCCGCCGCCGCACGCGCCGCCGCAGCAGCAGCACAGCTACGGCTCGGGCAGCATGGGCCCGCCGCCGGCACGCCACGGCAGCGGCACGCCGCAGCAGCCGCCGCATGCAGGCAGCAGCAGCCTCGGCCAGTCGTGGAGCCCCGCGACGCGCTCCGAGGAGGACGAGGAGGAGGACGACGAGTCGGACGAGGAGGGCTCCGACGGCGAGTCCTCCGACGGCGGCAAGAAGCGCAAGCGCTCGCCGGGCGCCAAGGGCAAGGGCGCCGCAGACGCGCCCGCCGGCAAAAAGGCCAAGCCGACGCGCGGCGCAAAGGCCTGCACCAACTGCCGCCGGCTGAAGATGCGCTGCATGGGCGCCGAGCATGGGCCGCCGTGTGCGCGCTGCAAGCACGGCAAGCACGAGTGCGTGTTTGAGGAGAGCAACCGCGGCAAAAAGGGCGGCAAGAACCAGCGCGCCGAGGCCATGGCGGCCAGTCTCAAGAAGATGGAGGCGACGCTCAACACGGTGCTGGCGTCGCTGCGCGCGCCCAGCCTCGCAAAGGGCGCCGGCCTGCTGACGCGCAGCCCGAGTCCGGGCGACGAGCCGCCGCGCCCGACGCGCCACTTTCCCGACCGCGTGCGCGCCTACGACCAGGCCGACGACCGCGAGCGCCTGCAGCGCGGCTGGCGCACTGCCGACGAGGTCGACGATGTGGCGCGCAGTGCCGCGCGCCTGCCGCCCGCCAGTCCCGGCGGCAGCCACGTCAATCCGCAGGCCTTGGGCTCGCAGCGCGAAGCCACGTCGGGCACGCGCTTCGTCGAGCCTGCCTCGGCGCGCCCGCCGCGGCGCGCCGCCTCGCCGCGCCTCCACTCGCTGCCCGACAACACGCTCAACCCGCTCGGCCTGCTCGCCGAGGCCAGTCTGCACAACCACCACCGCGCCCGGCGCCTCGGCTCGCGCGCGCAGCAGCAGCAGCACGACGGCGCGGCCAGTGTGCGCAGCGCCAGCAAGGAGGTCAGCGCCAGTCCGGCCAGTGCCACGTCGCGCCTCAAGGAGGAGGAGGCCTCGACGCCCAGTGCTGCGGCGCCGTCGGGCGAGGCGGCCGCGCTGACGCAGCTGGCCAACAAGGCCTACACGGCCAGTGCCGAGTCGCTCGACCTCGCCGGCGCCGTGCGGCCCGAGGGCGTCACCAACCCGCGGCCGCAGGCCGAGGACCATCAAGTGTCGCTCGGCGTCGCCTCGGACACCTACTTTCGCCCCGGGCCCATGACAATTCTGCCGCTGCGGCGCATCGTCATTGAGCGCGAACTGCCGCCCGAGCTGCTCACCAGCGGCACGCTCACGAGCCAGGAGGTGCTGGATCTCTTCCAGATCTTCTTCCACTACTGCTCCCAGCACGTCGTCGTCCTCGACCCCGAGTGGCACACGCCCACGATGATCTGTGCCCGCTCGCCCTTTCTCTTCACGTGCGTCTGCACCATTGGCGCACGCTTCTACCCGCGCCGCCCCGAGCTGTACCAAAAGTGCCTGGCGCAGGCAAAGAAGAGCGCCTACCTCATCATGAGCCGCGGCTGGAAGAGCGTCGAGATCGTGCAGGGCTTCATGCTGCTCACGCTCTGGAACCAGCCGGTGAGTGCTGAGCACCGCGAGGTGGGCTTCTGCTGACGCGCCTGCGCCGCGCCTGTTCTTTTCCAGGCCGAGCGCTTCGAGGAGGACTGCACGTGGCTGTTCAGCGGCATTGCCATCCGCATGGCGACGGATCTCAATCTGCACCGCAAGAGCGTCGCGGGCCTGCCGGGCCATCTCGACGCGCACGACGCGGCGGTGCTGGAGCGCGAGCGCGAAATCATCAACCGCGAACGCACGTGGCTCATGTGCTTCAACATCGACCGCAGCCTGGCGGGACAGATGGGCAAGCCGTGGACGATCCGCGAGGACTGGATCATCCGCAACTCGCGCCACTGGTGCCTGCAGCGCCTCAGCCAGCCGTGGGACCTGGGCATCTGTGCCCTCGTCGAGCTGCTGCGCCTGACGGTGAGTGCGCGCGGCCGCGGCGAGGCGCAGTAGAGAGGGACCACTGCGGCGGGAGAGGCGTGGCGCCGGGGAGAAGAGGACGGAGAGGACAAGGGGAGACATAGGAGGGTCGGAGTCACATCGGCGGAGCAGGAGCAGCGCCGCGGCGTCGCTTGTTTGCCCCACACCCCCACTTGTCCGCCCCACACCCACGCTTCTCCGCCCC